ACTTTTCCATGACATTCTAATTTATTGAGATGCACCTGTATAATACGAACCTACAGGTTGAGCATCACATCAGTGTCCAGATCACCCTAATGGGTTTATTTTGTGCTGATGACTGTACAATATCACTTATTTGATTTTATTAAATGTATAATTCATCAGGTATTTACAGATTCTTAATACAATATTATTTTAGATGTATGTATTTATTTCAGGTGAAGCCCAACGTCTCTCAGAGCTGAGGATTGTGTTAATGGGGTATAAACTTGCTGGTAAGAGTTCAACAGGAAACAGCATCCTGGGCAGAGAGGCGTTTGACTTGAAGAGATCTGCTCAGTGTGTGAAGAGACATGGAGAAGTAGCAGACAGACACATCACTGTCATTGAAGCTCCAGGATGGTGGAGTAATTACACTGTTGAAGACATCTGCTCAGTGTGTGAGGAGACATGGAGAAGTAGCAGACAGACACATCACTGTCATTGAAGCTCCAGGATGGTGGAGGAATTACACTGTAGAGAACAGTCCTGAGTTACTGAAACAGGAGATTGTGCTCAGTGTGTCTCTGTGTCCTCCAGGACCACACGCTGTACTACTGATCATACGTGTGGACTACATGTTTAAAGAGACTGAGAGAAAAGCAGTGCAGGGGCATCTGGATCTTCTCGGTGAGAGAGTCTGGAGTCACACTATAGTGCTGTTCACTCATGGAGACTCTCTGTTAGACACATCTATAGAGCAGCACATTGAGAGTGAAGGGCAGGATCTCCAGTGGCTGCTGGACAAATGTGGGAACAGGTATCATGTTCTCAACAATCAGAACAGGAGTGACCACACTCAGATCAAGGAGCTGCTGGAGAAGATTGAGGAGACAGTGACACAAAACAAATGCCTTATTAGGAGGAAGAGCAGCCCTATTAAAATACAGGGAACTGATAATAAAATAAAATCAGAAGAGCGAATGCAGCCATGGATAGATGACGTCAGATCACAAACGAGTGAGTGAAATCACAAAACTGTATGAATATCTCAGTTGTGTTTGTCATCAGTGTTTTTTTTATAGCTCTTCAGATGTTGGTTATGTAAGATTTTTTTATTAAAGGGGTCATATGATGCGATTTCAAGTTTTCCTTTCTCTTTGGAGTGTTACAAGCTGATTGTGCATAGATAAGATCCCTGAAGTTGCAAAGACTAAAGTCTCAAAACCAAAGAGATATTCTTTATCAAAGTTAAGACTCTGCCACGCCCCCCTAAAACGGCTCATTCTAACACGCCCCCACATATCTACCACACTATATGGAAATATTTGCATAATGCCGCCCAAATGTGCACGCAAAGAAAGAAGGCATGGTTTCAGTAACCGCAGAATGTGCACACAAAGAAAGAAGGCGTGGTTTCAGTAACCGCAGTTAGTGTTGAAGCAGCCATGTCAGGGAGACGCTGTGTGTTTCTAGGCGAAAGCAAAAGCACTTTATTTGGCCTTCCGAAAGTAGATTGATTTAGGAATCTTTAAGATTACTTACACAACAGAACAGCAATGCATTTTATGGACGACCGTTTCGTGAAC